CTCTTAAAAAAGTGTTGTACATATTCTCCTACTGTGCGTTAAATTCTGGAGAATTATAATCGCACCAATTCCTTCTTTGTGTGTTTTTCTCTTACTTTCATTGTCTGTGTTTCTATACGGGTTATGAGGGCGTGTGTACGTGTGTATGTTTCCAGGGATACGAGATGAATGGTGATAAAATAAAACGATTTTCATATTTAACTAAAATGCGTTTATTGTAACAAACCAACTATCGATGTTACATTAAATCTCACATATTGAACATTATAAAAAACACCAGTTCAGTATAGGTGTATGGCACAACCTCATATACAATAATAATAATAAACATGAAAATCCATCTATGACATAAAAACGCATGGAAAATATACCTAAAATTTTGATGGTGACCTCAAACGAAGCTTCAAAAGGGTCATGAAGTGCGTTCAGGTCACTACTGTTTTGGTCAATGTAAGGTCACTGTACTGGGGTTTTGGGATTCACTTTTTTCCACAATAAAAGGTCAAAGTTCATCGTTAAATCTGAGGAACTGCTAAGAATGCAATTAACATCGCTTCTGTTCTCTGCAGACACGCCTTGTCCTATGAAAATCTACACGCATTTTGAAAAAAAACTATATACATGTCAAATTCATATGACACTTTTGGACATGCCGAACAGACATCGACATAGAGGGATACATACAAAAATACTGTTATATAATCATGTATTTTCTGAGACTTCTTTTGCACTTCCCACAAGTATTGTAAAGGTAAGAGGTACATGGGTAAGAGAAGAGAAGAGAGAGAAAGAAAATGAGAGAATATGTCAGGTATACACAAGATACGTAGATAAAGAGAAAGTGCTTGACATTTTATTATCAAGAGCCTGGGTATTTAAATGCAGTTTGTAGTGATAATGCCCAGGGGTAAAGTGCCTGTACGAGATGAAACGATCGACCTCTTGGTGGGTCGAACGAGTGAACGAAGTGATCATAGAGCTTGTGAACGCGGCAAGTGAACATAGAGCTTGTGAACGCGGCAAGTGATCATAGACTTGTGAACGCGGCATCCGCGGCAATCCAAGTGAACATAGAACTTGTGAACGCGGCAAGTGTACAACATAGAACTTGTGAACGCGGCAAGTGTACATAGAACTTGTGAACTACATGAACTTGTGAACGCGGCAAGTGTACATAGAACTTGTGAACGCGGCAAGTGTACATAGAACTTGTGAACGCGGCAATCCAAGTGAACATAGAACTTGTGAACGCGGCAATCCAAGTGGTCGTAGAGTTTGTGAACGCAAAGCCACTGAACCGAAGAACACAAGTCTACGATCAGAACTTGCTTGTAAACGCGCGGGAAAAAAATCGAACTCAAATGAAGCTTCGAATCTGTCTCGCCCTACACAAACAGTGCGGCATTCGGAGGCTGTTCGAGACGGAATTCGAAACGGGTTTGAAATGGCAAGAGTTTGGACCGTGATTCCATAAAAGCGGAGAGTATGAATGACTGTATGACAAGTTATTCGTATTGCGAGCGACATGATTGCGCAAATAGGCAGTCATTTGTTATCAGGGAGTGGTGACGTCACGAGATTGGATGACGCATCGTGTGTACGTCTGTCAAAATTGATTCTGGAATGATCTGCAACAGGATAATATCTCTTTTGATTGTCGCATTTCTTAACGTTGAAGGAAGAGAGAAAATTAAGGAAAAGTTAATAGGCGAAAGGGGTTGAAAGGAAGAAAAAATGAAATCATTTGAAACTATTGCAAAGGAATGACCAATCAGTTTTAAAAATCCACAAAAAAGGAGAAAGAGTTGCGGTTTTAAAAAATAGAAATATATATAAATGGAAACGGTATCTAAAAATTTAGAACATGGTAACGTTTGTAGAAAAAAATAAGATTGAAAGACACAAACCTAATAATCATTAAAAAAAAACAACATCCGATCAATATATTTCCTTATGATCTACAATTCACTGGCTCCATTTGATTAGTTTATAAATAATTTCAAAAATACATTAATATTAATTTAATTGGTTACATATACAACACATCGAATTTCATGAACCAATGTTTTGTATTTTCATCAATTTTGGTCATGATTAAATTTTTAGTAATGAACATATTAATTTAATATTTCTTAATGCTATCCATGTTTTGTCATTGATTCAATTTTCCTTTTGAATTCCAAGCGAATTAAAAATTCCTCTATTTTCACGAAAATCGGAAAACTTCGTCAACATCGTCCTTAGATTCCCTCATTTCAGGCTTCGTATCACACTTCGAAACCTTTTTTATTAAGACATTCGCGTCAAAAGATCTATCGTAGGTTTTTCAAATAACCATCGATAGCGTCACTGTCATGATAACGAGATTGATCAACATCAGATGAGATTAACAGACATTATGTAAAATGCTGGCAACCACACGAGGCTCTGGACAAAGCCAAGAAATCGGATACAGTCTTCTTTACAAAACAAATATCGGGAAAAAAGCACAGGCATTGCGTTGAAGACGAAAACCATTTATAAACTCTTTTATCCATGGATGAGTAAATTTACAATGATATCGCTGTCTCCACTTCCGTCACGCAGAACGGGAAGATAAGCAAGAAAACAGCCGTGAAATATACATGTACAAAATGAATCCCTGAGGTAGGCGACCATCCGCGGCCGCCAACACGGATCCAGGAAACAACCTCCGTTTTCTATATCCCCGTTTTCTCTTTTCGCTGAAGAGGGGATACGCAACCAATATTGTTTTAGGCCGCGTTGCAACCTGAATGATCGCCTCGAATAACACAGTAAGCATCTATCACACATCTGATGACTGCAATGGGAAGGCATTGAGAGAAAGGGTGCAGCAGGTCATCTGATATCTGAAAATATGTCTACCCCAAGCACAGATACAGTTTTCTAGCTGTTGTGTCCACGAGGCTTTCGGAAAACCAGTGTCAGATTTATATACATGTGTGTGTGTATATATGAGTATGTGCACACACACGCGCACGTATATATGAATGATTATATGAAGTTTCGGGTGAGAAATGAATAGGCTTTGGTGTTGTTTTCACTCGCCTTGGAGTCCGTCGTGTTTATATTTGTTTTTTTCCTTGATGTTTGGGACATTTGACATCCGCCAAATGAAGGTCAGAAAAACAAAAACAAATAAAACACACACCGGAAGCAAATACACAGGCCTACATTTGAAAAGAAAGGCATAACACGAGAGGATATAAATAATAACAATCTTTCTTCACAAAATTCCTTTCAGCACAGAACTGACTCTTTCGTCCGTCGACAAAACACTCGTGGAACAAAATGAATAAATGCACCAACGCCGATGACAAAAAAAAAATCCTATTCACACATTTACAATTTTTTTTTTTCACCTTCCTTTTTTTCGAACTGATGGGTGATAAATAAACAATTTGCATGATAAATATTCATTTGGATAAATTAATGCGAAGGGGAGGGATGGCGGAGAGATAATGAAAGGGGGAGAGGTGGAAAACGAAGAGGGAGAGGGGATGGTGGAGAGGGAGAGGGAGAGAAGGACTGAAAGACTCGCTGGTGGGTTTGGCGATGAGGAGATGGAGGAGAAGGAGGAGGAAAAAGAAGATGAAGAAGAAGAAACAGAACAGGATAAAGATAAAGAATGAGAGAATAAGAAAGGCGGGGACAAAAATGACGATGATGACACTGAAGATGAACAAACGACGCTAGAGGGCGCTGCCGACCTGCCAGCCACTGCCGGACCTCCCTGCAGAAGGCCCTTTCCCAGCAGTCGCCCGGGGGGAGGCAGCCTCTCTCGAGACGCCGCTCCCCCAGCTAGCAGACGCGACTCTCCTAGCAGACCAGTTCGCAGACCAGCTAGCAGACGCGACTCTCCTAGCAGACCAGCTAGCAGACGCGACTCTCCTAGCAGACCAGCTAGCAGACGCGACTCTCCTAGCAGACCAGCTCGCAGACCAGCTAGCAGACGGGACTCTCCGAGCAGACCAATTAGCAGACCCTCCCTAGGACACGGAAGGCGCAACCCTCCTAGTAGACGCGAGACAACAGCTAGTACACGTATATTTGCTTGAGCTGGTATCTTAAGTTCTCGGGGATGTGAGTATCGTGGTGTTCCGGCTTCTTGAAGATCTTCTGGCCCGCCTTGTGGAGCACCTGCCGGAGGTGCCTGTGCCACTCCGGCCGCGGCTCCGACGGGAACATGATCGCCTGGGGAAGGAGAGGAGAGGGGGAGGTTAGAGAGGGAGAAGGAAAATTTTGATGATGAGGATGATAATGATGATAATAAACGGTGGAATTGATAATACTGATGATAATGGATATTTTGATAGCAAGAATAACCGCGATACTACCAATGCTACCATTAATAATATGCTAACGATGATGATAATAATAATAATAACAGTGATAATAATCCTAGTTATAACAATAATTATGAAAAAATCGGCATAATAATAAAATTTTCAATAATAATAATAATAATAACAACGACAGTAACAAATTTAACAGTAACAACAAAATGAAAGTGAATGAAGGAGAAATATCGAGTGAGAGAGAGTGAGAGAGAGTGTGAGAGAGTGAGAGAGAGTGTGAAGAGAGTGAGAGAGAGTGTGAGAGAGTGAGAGAGAGTGAGAGAGAGTGAGAGAGAGTGAGAGAGAGTGAGAGAGAGTGAGAGAGAGTGAGAGAGAGTGAGAGAGAGTGTGAGAGAGAGTGAGAGAGAGTGAGAGAGAGTGAGAGAGAGTGAGAGAGAGAAGTGAGAGAGAGTGAGAGAGAGTGAGTGTGAGAGAGAGTGAGAGAGAGTGAGAGAGAGTGAGAGAGAGTGAGAGAGTGAGAGAGTGAGAGAGAGTGAGAGAGAGTGTGAGAGAGTGAGAGAGAGAGTGAGAGAGAGTGAGAGAGAGTGAGAGAGAGTGGAGAGAGAGTGAGAGAGAGTGTGAGAGAGTGAGAGAGAGTGTGAGAGAGTGTGAGAGAGTGAGAGAGAGTGAGAGAGAGTGGAGAGAGAGAGTGAGAGAGAGAGAGAGTGTGAGAGAGTGAGAGAGAGTGAGAGAGAGTGTGAGAGAGTGAGAGAGAGTGAGAGAGATGTGAGAGAGTGAGAGAGTGAGAGAGAGTGAGAGAGAGTGAGAGAGAGTGAGAGAGAGTGAAGAGAGTGAGTGAGAGAGAGTGTGAGAGAGTGTGAGAGAGTGGTGAGAGAGAGTGAGAGTGAGAGTGAGTGAGAGGTGAGTGAGTGAGTGAGTGAGAGAGTGAGAGAGTGAGTGAGTGAGTGAGTGAGTGAGTGAGTGAGTGAGTGAGTGAGTGAGTGAGTGAGTGAGTGAGTGAGTGAGTGAGTGAGTGAGTGAGTGAGAGAGTGAGTGAGAGAGTGAGAGAGTGAGTGAAGAGGTGAGTGCCGTGACATTCACAGCTGAAGAATTACAAAAAAAAAGAGAAAAAAGATACTCGCTGGTACCAGTTTCCGCGGTGTTGCCCACTATGCGGCCGTGACATTTCGTGTCTCTTGGATGTCTAAACCCAAACCACACATCCAACCCCGCCCGCCGCCCACACCCCTAACCCCCACCCCCCACCCCGCCCCAACCCCTAAGGCCAACCCACAACCCCAGCAGTTGTACCCATTGCAGTGCTTCTTATTGTAAAATGTCATTACCTTGGTATATAAACAACCTTGGTATTTCCACATAAGCACAAACGCACATGCACAAGCACAAACGCACACGCTCAAGCACAAACGCACACGCTCAAGCACAAACGCACACGCTCAAGCACAAACGCACACGCTCCAGCACACATGTACACGCCCAAGCACACACACATGCGTACATGGCGTCTCGCGAGATACGTACACACATTTCAGCGACCTCAGGCTCGGCCACGAAGATCTCATGGAAGCCGAGCCGCGAAGACGACGACGACAACGACAGCAGAGACATGTCGCTGTGGCAGGAGGACGAGGAGGAGAAGACGGAGGAGGGCGACGAGGAGAAGGAGGAGGACGACAGGTCACTCCTGAAGGACAGGTCGCTGCGACAGGACGACGAGGACGAGAGTGTGGCGGACAAAGTGCTGTGACAGGATTTTAAGGACGTGGAGGACAGGTCGCTGGCCGAGGACAGGTCGCTCTGGGACCCCACGTCGCAGTCGCGCTTGAGATTTCCCAAGGACTTGCGGAGCCGGTGGCTCAGGCGGCGGAGCGGCGTGGGCGGCGTGAGGAAATGGTTGTCTTCGAGGCTTTTCTCCTGTTTTAGACTTTCGCTTTTTTTGCTTTCTCTGTGCGTCTTTCTGTGCCTTACCTCCCCCCTCAGGAACTTCAGAAGCCCTTCAGTCACGGTGTCGTCGACGCCCCGCAAGGAGGTCCTCCTTGCGTCTCTTCTGGACGTCGGCGCGCCCTTCCCGTCTTCCGCGCAGGAAGGGCGTCCTCGCGACGGCTGCAGACTTCGCTTCTGGAGTCTCGCTGCAGGATCTCTCCCGCAGGATTTGGGACTCGACTCCTGGGGCCGCTGGCCGACCTCCGTGGAGTGTCGGCGCTGCGACCTCATGAGAAGGTCCCGGTGGTGGGCGGCGAGGGCGCCGAAGGGTGGTGGTGCGGGGGGAGGGACGGGGGCACCAGGGCCACGGGGACGTCGTGGGGCCGCTGGGGAACCGACACGCGCTTGTGGAAGGCGGGCTGCTGGCTGGGGTGCGTCGGCCACTCGAACCTGGCGCAGTGGGAGGACACGAGGGGGACCTCGAGGAGGCAGCCGTGCGCGGGGGGCACCCGGAGGAGCGCGCCCTGCGGCGGGGCGGCGACCCCGGTCTTCCTCCGCCAGCGCAGGGACGTCCGCCGCACGAACTCGGGGTCGTTGGGCGAGAGGTTGTTGAGGCACTCGCGCTCGAACACCGAGGGGGAGTCCGAGGGCGGGAGGGCCCCCCCTTGGCCCTCTGCGCCGACGCGTGCCGAAAAGGACAGAGCCACGAGCCGCAGGGACTTCCGGCTCACGCCCGAGCCGAAGTGTTCCCTTCGCTTGGGCGGCGTCTCCGCGCTCGGGAGCCACGGCGGGGCGGCGCCACCGGACACCGGCGCCGCGTTCTCATTGCCGCCGCCCGCCGGGCCTTTCCTGAAGCTGAACCTGCTCTTCGCCTTGGAGGGGGTCGCTCTCGGCTGGGGGGCGCGCTCCCCGCTGGGCACGGACGGGCACTCGTGCATCGCGACAGTGGTGGGGGCGGTGCAGCTGCGCTCAACTGGGCCTACTCGTCCCTTGGCTTCTGTCCCGCCGCTGTCGATGCAGTCACCAACACTCGGCAGTCAGCCTGGCCCTCTGCTCGCCTCGCTGCCACCGGAGATACACACGCCGCCCGCCCGCCGCCGCCCCTTTTATACCCTCGCGCCTCGGTGTATCTGGCGACGATGACGTCACGCCCTCGCTCGCTCCTCGCCGCGATCTCATCTTCCATTCCCCCGTTCTCCTCCTGCCCTTCGCCTTCTCTCGCACATTTATTCAGCTCTATTCTTATTCCGTCATTTACCCTCATTAGCAGCCACGTAAAATACGATTACACACACACACACACACAAATACAAAGAGAGAGAGAGAGATGGAGAAATAGAAGAATAGCTAGACGGATAGATAGATAAATGGACAGACAGACAGAGACAGAGAGATGGATAGATAGAGAGACAGAGGAAGATAGATAGATAGAGTTAGAGAGCTAGATACAAAGATTTGGATTTGGTCTTATACCGTATATGTTCATAAAGCTTACAGTACCTAAAGTACCTAAAAAGTACCTAAAACTCCTTTGTTTTGGAGTGTCTGGGTACATTACACTTAGGAAGTACACAGAGTTCCTAAACACTTGTTTGAAGAGATGCAAGTGGTTTATATATTTTTTAAATATGTTACCAGCTACTTTTGATTAAATGCTTGGTCACTGTCATCTTATTTCTGGTCCTATGAGAGAGAGGGAGATACAGAGATAGATAGACAGATAGATAGATAGTGAAATAGGCAAAACAGACTGACAAACACACATATACACACAAACACACACACCCACATACACAAACACACCCAAACATCCCCCCCCCACACACACATCCAACCCCCCCCCCCCCTCATCCAAACACCCGCCTCCCCTCACACAACACACCCCCGCCGCTTCCCCCCCCCCCCCCCAAAGCAAGCCTTACCAAGACACCCCAAGGTCCTCCCTCCTCCCTTTTCCCTCCCCCCGAACCTCCAGCCCCGAAAGAGACCCCCGAGGACAAAGCCCGTTTCCCCGTCGCCGTGGAGCCTAAGGGGAACCCCGGAGCCTTCGCGCCGCCCAGGGGAGTAGAGGCACCATAAACACCCCTCCCCCCCCCTCCCCATGCGTACGTGCTCATGGCGGCGCATGGGAGGGAAATGTCAGGCTGTGTTTCCGCCTTCGTGTGTAGCAGGGGAGGGGAAGGGGAGGGAAGCGGAGCAGGTATGGGAGTGAGGGGGGAGGGGAGAAGGGGGAGGGAGGGAGAGGGGAGAAGGAGGAGGGGAGGAGAGGAAAGGGGAGAGGGAAGAGGGAGAGAGGAGAGGAGAGGGAAGGAGGAGAAAGGAAGAGAGAAGAGAGAGAGGAAGGGAGAGAGAGAGAGAGAGAGAGAGGAAGGAGGGAGGGGTGGTGAAGGAGAGAGGAGAGGAAAAGGAGATGGCAGGGGAAGGAAAGGGAAGGAGAGAGAGGGGGAACGAGAGAAAAAGGAGAGGGTAGGAGAGGGGGATAGACGAACGAAAAAGGGGAAAAGAAAGAGGAAACGTAAAGAATTTACGAAGAGAGAGTGAACTGAAGGGGAGAAGGAGAGACGGACAGGGAAGAGACGCCACGCAGGAGAGAAAGAAAAGTGGAAGAGGAGGAAGAAGAACAAGATGGCAGAAGTGACAAAAGAGAAGAGATGGAGAAAGAGAGATAAGAAGTGGAAGAGGGAGGGGGGGGGGAGGCTGTCAGAGAAGATCGAGCGAAACAACAAAAAGACGAAGATGAAGGAGATACAAGAGAAACGAGAAACGAAAATCAAGAGATAAAGAGGGGTTTGAAGAGATAGGAGAAGAAGAAGCGAGAAAGAAGTAGAGAGAGAAAAAAAAAGCTGCAGAAACCCACGAACAAATATCTATCTATATGGTACTTGGCTTACCCCCCCCCCCTTTATATCTCATTTCATATTTCTGAATTCATATGTATCTATCTATCTATCTGTTTGTCTGTCTATTGACATTTGATCGACTCCCTCATTCCACCTACCTACCCCCCCCCCTGTTTCTCTCTCAAATAACCCGCCTATCCATCCATCTATCTACTGAACTTTCACTTTACTGGGCTATCCTCTTCTCTTCTCTCTCTCTCTCACGCACACACATACACACACGCTCATACGCACGCACGCACACACGCACAAAATCACGTACACCAATCACGGCACACGCCACAAAATCACGCACTCAAAACACACACACACAAACATCACGCACGCACACACAAAATCACGCACGCACACAACACAACACACACAGCACCACAAACATCCACCTTCGGATGTACAATGACACACTTATGACGTCAACGCAATCCCCTGTCCACTCGGCGTCAACAGTTCGGGGAATTTCCCATCCCTTTTTATCTGTTTTTTTTTTGTTTTTGTTTTTTTTTTGTTTTTTAATCCGAACACATAACGTCTAACCTCACCGAAACCCAACATACATGACAAATAAAAAACCGACAGAAACACACAAAAAAAAAAAAACAAACAAAAAAAGACACATTTCGAGACAAAACAAAAACGAAAAACCAAAAAGAAGAAATAAAAGAGAGAAGAAAAAAGAGAGAGAGAGAGAGAGAGAAGAGATAACAAGAACATTGGCCTGACACGTGTCAATCCCGTGATCTAAGCTGCAATGTGTAATGGACATGCACAGAGTGGCGATAACTGGATCATACAGCAGTGTAATTTGGCCGTAAGGGCGAAACTCGTGTGGCGGGAACCGGATAGCGTTATGCAACCCAGCGAGAAGGGAGAGCTAGAAAGAGCGAGAAAGAAGCATATTTATACATATAATATATATATATATGTTATGTATGTATTATATTATACAGAGTCACACACACACATACACACAGTCACGAACACATATACACACACACATACACACAGTCACGAACACATACACACACACACATACACACCACTAAACATACACATACACACATCACAACACATACACATACACACAGTCCACACATACACACAGTCTCACACACACACAGTCTCACACATACACACCCAGTCGCCAGTCACACACAAATCATATATAATATATAATATATATATACTATATATATATATATATATATATATTGTTGTGGTGTGTGTTGTGTGTGTGTGTGTTGTGTGTGTGTGTGTGTGGTGGTGTGTGTGTGTGTGTGTGTGTGTGCGTGCGTGTGTGTGTGTGTGTGAGAGAGAGAGAGTGAGAGAGAGAGAGAGAGGCAGCAGACAGAGATAGATAAAAAGAGAGAGAGAGAGAGAGAGAGAGAGAGAGAGAGAGAGAGAGAGAGAGAGAGAGAGAGAGAGAGAGAGAGAGAGAGAGAGAGAGAGAGAGAGAGAGAAGAGAGAGAGAGAGAGAGACAGAGAGACAGACAGACAGAGATAGATAAAGAGAGAGAGAGGCATAGTGAGGAAGAGAAGAGAGTACATGTATACTGTCCCTTGGCCTACATACATACATGCATACAAACAGGTAGAAGGGAAGGTGGAGGAGAACGAGACAATTGGGGACAGCGGATTCGAGGGACAAAGAGGAAGAGAAAGAGAAGCAAGCAGAGAAAGAGAGAGAAAGGGACAGAAAAAGAAAGAGAAGGATAAAGACAAACAAAACGAGAGAGAAAAAAGAGAAGACAGAGACAACCAAAAAGAATAGAAACAGAAAAACCGAAAGAAAAAGAAAAAAAAGAAATAAAATCAAAACAAGGAGAGAAAGAAAAAAAGAAAAGAAAAAAGCAACCAAAAAAGCAACAGAAAAAAAAAGAGATAAGGACAAACAAAGACAAACCGAGCGCAAACGACGCCAAACCAGGGTACCATAGCGAAGCAGTGACACCTGGGTATAGAGGAGGAGGGGGGAAGCGGGAGGAGAGGGGGAGGGGAGGGAAGGGGAGGTGTCAGCTGGAATTACAAATTATCCAGAAGGAAACCTGACACTTCCATTTAACCACAAACTCCATCTCTGGAAAACCAGAAGTAGATGAGGGAAGGAGGAAGGAGGGAAGAGGAGGAGGAGGGGAAGAGAGGAAGAGGGGAACAGAGAGAAGGAGGGAAGAGGAAGAAGGAGGGGAACAGGAGGAAGAGGGGGAGGAAGGGGGAGAAGGAGGAGGGAACAGGAGAAGGAGGGGAACAGGGAAGGAGGGGAACAGGAGAAAGGAACAGGAGGGAAGGAGGGAGGAAGAGGGGAAACAGGAGGAGGAGGAGGAGAGGAGAGGAGGGAGGAGGAGAGGAGGAGAAGAAGAAGGAGGAGAGGAGGAGGAGAAGAAGAAGGAGGAGGAGGGGGGAGGAGAGGAGAGGAGAAAAAGGATGAGAAAGAACATGAAAAAAAGAGAACTGGAAAAGTAAGAGTTAAGAGGAGGAAAAGAAGAAAGAAAAGGGAAGAGTATGGGAGGGGGAGGAGAAGGAAGAGGAAAGGAGAGGAGACAAAAGAGAAAAAAAAAAACAGAAAAAAAAGAAAGTAGGAAATGACGGAGGACAAACTGAATAAGGAAGCCCAAGAGACGGCAAATGTCGAAAGAGACGAGAACAAAAAAAAAGAGAGATTGAGAGAGGAAAAAAAAAACAAAAAAAAATTACGAAAGAGACGTAAAGGCGATGGAGAGGAATATTAACGCATACAAAACAACCTTCCGTGCATGCAGTCCTAAGATACGCGCATTCTGGCATACAAACAAGCTAATAGGTCTATCAGCGCCTACATATGCATAGGTTCTTGGGTAACGACATACAACCCTTTCACACACGCCTAGAAATCCAGATAACACTGCCATGATAACGTGGGCGTGTGTGTAAAAACACAAAAAAAAAGAAAAAAAGAAAAAAAATGAAAAAGGAGACAGTGATTGATAGGGGAGAGAGAGAAAAAAAAGAGAAAAAATAAGAGGAGAGAGAGAGAAATAAAGAGAGAGAATAAAGAGAGAAAGAGAAAAAAATAAAGAGAGAGAGAGAAGAAAAAAAAATAAAGAGAGAGAGAGAGAGAAAAAAATAAAGAGAGAGAGAGAAAAAAAATAAAGAGAGAAAAAAAAAATAAAGAGAAGAGAGAAAAAAAATAAAGAGAGAGAGAGAAAAAAAAAATAAAGAGAGAGAGAGAGAGAAAAAAAATAAAGAGAGAGAGAGAGAAATAAAGAGAGAGAGAGAAAAAAAAAAATAAAAGAGAGAGAGAGAGAAAAAAATAAAGAGGAGAAGAAGAGAAAAAAAATAAAAGAAGAGAGAGAAAAAAAAAAAATAAGAGAGAGAGAGAGAGAAAAAAAAAAACAAAGAGAGAGAGAGAGAAAAAAAATAAAGAGAGAGAGAGAGAAAAAAAAATAAAGAGAGAGAGAGAAAAAAAAAAATAAAGAGAGAGAGAGAGAAAAAAAAATAAAGAGAGAGAGAAAGAAAATAAAGAAGAAAAAAAAAAATAAAGAGAAAAAAAAAAATAAAAGAAGAGAGAGAAAAAAAATAAAGAGAGAAGAAAAAAAAATAAATAAAAGAGAGAAAAAATAAATAGAGAAAAAAATAAATAGAGAAAAAAATAAAGAGAGAAAAAATAAATAGAGAGAAAAAATAGATAGAGAGAAAAAATAAATAGAGAGAAAAAATAAATAGAGAGAAAAAATAAATAGAGAGAAAAAATAAATAAAGAGAAAAAAATAAATAAAGAGAAAAAAAAAATAAATAGAGAAAAAAAGAAAAAAGAAAGAAAGAGAGAAAGAAATAAAGAGACGAGAAATAAGAAAGAAAAAAAGAAAAGAACGAGAACGAAATAAAGAAAGAACGAGATATAAAGAGAAAGAGCGAGAAATAAAGTGAGAGAAATATATAATAAAACGGTCTCAAAACAGCGACACCTGGCAATGAGGAGAATGGGTTCAAATCCCATAATCTAGCGCTCCAATATTGCTGATAAAGTTAATTAAATTCCACTATTATTCCACAACGATTTACAATTGGAGCAAACACGTCAGGCAATACCTACCAAGATTACTTTTATTGGCAATATATAGGCTATATAAATAATGCCTATGTCTGCCCCTTCACCGCATGGCAAACGTGATAAACACCACTAAAATCGTTATTATATCTAGGTGTTTTTAACGGTTATTACATGTTAAATTGGTTGTTTTAAA